TGCAGCTGGAAACGTAGAATCGATTGGAAATAAAGCAAAAGGGAATTGAGCCGATACTCCCATTAAGGACAATCGTCGGCGCTCGCTCGCGAGTATAGCACCATAGGCACGTGCTTTTACACGAAGTGCAACAGTGACTTGCGACACGAGGGTCGCTATAAACATGATTAATGGAGCTACCGAGTCGCTCGCCATTCAGATGCACTACCCTTTCCTTTCTCTCTTTTCCACTTTCGCAGCGGCACACCACTGCTGCCAGAATAACAAAGTGCTCCTTTCGCTCTCGTCGCCTTTGCCCTCTCTTTCCCTCTCTCCCTCTATCTCTCTCTCTCTCTCTCTCTCTCTCTCTCTCTCTCGTTCTCGTGATTTTCTTGCGCGATGTAAACGGCAGGAACCTAAAGTTTCTTTCGCCAACTTCCAACAAAACTTTCAAACAGACCTATATTGATTTTGAGAGGCTTCTGACGTTAGAAAGTATCAAATTATTTTCAGTATACGAATAGGTCGGTTTCAAAAGTATTTTTATCCAGAAGTTAATTTCCGATATGCTCTGTAAGCGGAAGAGAGAGAGAGAGAGAGAGAGAGAGAGAGAGAAAGATGAGGAAGAAAGAGAGAGAGAGAAAGATGAGGAAGAAAGAGAAATGCGAAATCGAACTGCACAGAGATTTGTTTTGTGTACAGGGACACGAAGAAATAAAAGCGTTTCGCAGTGCAGTAAGGCTTGAAAAGAGGTGAACGGTCCGTGATATCCCCGGGGAATGAAAACGTCGTCATGCGCGGAGATTTCGAGTTCGATACACGAATAAACAACGAAAGAATTCTACTATAGAATTCAACGGAAATATAGGAAAGTGTGAAAAATAAATAAATATTGGCTTTTCTTGTTCCAACAGAAGAAAAATACAATATTTCACACTGTGGACTTTCAGAAGTAAAGCAAATTGGTTCTTGAAAACTGAGATCGCTTACGAATCCAGAAAATAATGAATTTCAGGAGAAATTATCAGTGAAAATGTTCCACTATGTGGTTTTTCAGTATACCAATTAGAAACATAACTGAAAGATAGTAATAATTGTAAGCTTGGATGACATCCAGTGTGCGTGCGGCACTGAGATCCACGCTGGCAAGTAAAGAGCACAGCTGAAGAAAAAGAAGCAAGCAAGCAAGCAACATAGAGCGAGACGGCGGCGTCGGGGTAGGAAACGCCGGATCGGTACAGTGCAATATACGGGAGACTTAGCCGTGATAAATCCTTATATATGAGGCTTCGCCGCGGCGAACCTCTATATGAAACTCCCAGCGTCGGCGAGCCCATGGGATTACCTCGTTGTGTATACTTCACGTATAACCGGGACATCGGCCGGGAAATTGGGAAGGGAACTCTGGCGAAAAGGAGAAAAACAGAGAGAGAGAGAGTGAGAGAGAGAGAGAGAGAGAGAGAAAGAGAGAGAGACAAGTCAACCGACGAGCGTGATCGAAAGTGGAAACTGGAAGAATGAAATAACAAAGAAGTTGTGGACGTCTGTCGTACGCTTGAAATTTGTAATTAACTGAAAACACTGTGTATTGATTTTTAATACTCGCGTTGATTGTAGCTCTCGGTATCGTATAAGGTAATATTTGGTTCTGTTGTAGAAGTTACGTGTATGTACTGTCATACTTTATATTTTACCTTCCACTCGATTCCATGTATACAATACGTTCTTTGATATTGGTTATGACATATTTGATTGAACAGTGCGAACTAAAAAATAAACTAACATTTGAGATTGAGCGCGGATTCTTCGAATGAGATAAATTTGAACCAAACTGTCAATCCGAAAGATAGATTAGTGAATTGCACATTTCAAAAGAAAAAAGCTGATGTTAAAAAAATGGGGAAACTATAACTTACGAAACTAAATTAATGACTGTAGATGTAGGCAATGAGAGAAAATAGAAACAAAGGAATAAATTCGACTCTGGTCATCGCGTCTTATTAAAATGGAGCGGGACGGCGTGACGCTTGGTGAGCGCGTGGCATTTGACGTTATAAAGATCGGTATCAGCGACAGTAGCGATTATCCATTATGGTGGCATAATCGTTACGTCGTTAACTCTTAACGGGCGCGTTCGTAGGCTCGTCGGCGTTCGAACTGGCGTCGGAGGCTCGCTCGCTCCGACGTTTTATCGTGCCATCCTCTTGCCAGTTACATCGGCAGAATCGCGAGCTAAGGAGAAGGATAGAGAGAGAGAGAGAGAGAGAGAGAGAGAGAGAGAGAGCGAATGAGATTCTCCAGTGCGATAGCGCGCTTTAAGCATAAACGCCAAGCTAGACGTCGAGAGGTCTCCAATGAAATTCGCCGTAATTAGAATTTCACCGTTCAATTTTGACAGGATGCCGGGATTTCTGGCTTAATCTCTGAGAGAGCATCTTGTGTGTCGTCTACGTAGTCATAGGGGAAAAAGAGAGCTGAAACTGCCTGTATATAAATACACTGCGGGCAAATGCTGGGAAGATATGCTCGATTTAATTGCTTCTCCTTATTTTCTTTTAATTTCGCTGTTTATTAACATGGTTGCAATTTAACTTTGCATTATTAATACCATACTAATTCAACTTTACATTGAATCTGTAACCAAGTTTCAAGCACTGGTAAAGTACATAGTAAATTATAAACTAACGGGTCTGCTTAATGAAGTTGTAATATAAAAGCCTTTCATGTTCAAACGCGTTTTATGGAAACTAAATGCTACATTTCCGAGCATAATTAACGTACAACAACCTTGAGAGATACACTTTAAGTTGTCGATTTCTTTAATTTATAATTATTGCTGTCGCTTTGAAAAGTTTTCAATTGATAACCACGGTGAAGCTTGAAAAAATACTCGTATTTGGCGATGCAGCCAAATCGATACCGGCGATATTAATAACTTAATAAATTTAATCAGTTTTTCGCGCGAACAGTGAATAGCCTGACTTTCGTATTGGCGACTGGAAATGCATTTTTGGAGCGCGGAAAAAGGCAACAAAGCAGCGAGCAGGCAAGGGAGCGAGAGAGAGAGAGAGAGAGAGAGAGAGAGAGAGAGTGAGAGAGAGGAAGATAAACGAACGACAATAATTATCGTGAAAACGGAATATCCCGAGTCCGGCTGTCGGGCGGCGGCTGCTGGCGGCTATATATACGCTGGGGGATGAGAGGAGAGTCTGACCGGATGCCATTCCCGCGCGACCAGGCCGCCATTGTGTTCGTTATAATTAAAAACGCGAATCGCAATTGCAAATTGGAAAATGGCTGCCGTCTGCGTGCACAGGCGCGTTTTGCAGGCGGACAGTGAGAGAGACAGCCAGCGATGCGCGAGCCCGAGCTCTGCACATACGCGCGCACACGAGCGCACACGCGCTCGTTGTTTATGGGCCGTTCATTGATTTTTTACGCGCCGGGAATTAATGACCGTTCCGAACCGATTTCGACGCTGCCATATAATTGTCGATATTGCTCGCGGATATGAGTATGCCTACACGTGTTTTCGCCTGCCCGTGAGTCTGTTACATCGATTGGTTCTTGCACGAGCATTTTTCCATTTCCATTTTCTTTTGGCCCGTTATTGCAGCACAGTTTTTAAATGCTTTTTCAAATGAAAACGCATTCAGTTGCAAAATGTTACATTTATCATTTGCTTGTTTACACCTCTCCTAAACAGTACTTTTGTTTAAAATCGCAGTTGTCAAAGTCTCAATTTTTTATAAAATCTTTATGATACAGTTTCTGCATGACATCTCACTATTAAAAGTCTATTGTGAGAACAGTGAGGATGAGCAAAGTGCTGATATGTGAAATTATTTTTGTTAGGTCAGATGCATTCTGACAAATATCATTCGAGGGAAGAATAAATATTTGCGATGAAAGCAGCAATGAATTTCAAATTCCAGATTTTTTTTTTATGCGAATGATGGATAAAGTTTATCGACTGCATATCAACCGATAAGTTAATGCTGTATTTGATTTAATAGCAATTATATAACTATTTTGGATTTGTGTTTGCAAAACATCAAAGTTCGAATATTCATAGGCACACGTTGTTCTCGATATTTGGGCAGCAGTCAATAATAAGTCGCTAAGCAATTCAAAGAAGTATTTTAGGAGAAAGCGTCCAGATAGAATGACGTACGTATAAATATGAAATGGCCGCTTAGATAAATGAAAGGCTTGGGTTTAAAAGTTAAACGAGCGCGGCGATTAGCGATACACGTAGCGTGCGCGGGGCAGCAGCAGCAGCAGCGAGTAGGCGGGCAGTAGCAGATAGGGAGAAAAGTCGACGTTTCAGCTTAGCGCTCGCGGTGGAATTAGTATTATCAGGAAGAGTCACGCGGCCGCGCGTGTTCGCCGTTGTGCGCTGTATATCAGACAGGAAAGAGAGCAGCAGCAGCAGCAGCAGCAGCAGCCTCTGTAAAATCGGCAAAAGAGAGGAAAAGCTCACGACCCCCGGCCATTAGCTGGCTCCGGTAATGCGATCGGGGCTAATGGCTCGCTTGCTCTCTCGTTCTCTCTGCCCGTAAGCGATAGCTTCTAAATAACTCGCAAACTGCACACGTTTATACGATTGTACATACGTGCCGATCCGGAACGAGCCAGCCTTTCGGATATATCGCAACGCCTCTTTCTTCGTGCTCTTCGGTTTAGCCTTTCGAGGACGTAAGCGCCACGACGACCAGTGTTCCTCTATTTCTTTCCGAGGGACCTGGTAAAATAATCTTAATTGCTTTGTTTTCAATCTATGTTAAATTCAAATAACACGACTGATCTGCTGATCCATTGATTTAGTACGTTGCTAAAAATAATTTGTTCTTCAATTACGCAACAACGATGCTTGAACGAATTATCTTTTGGTGAAAATTTCATTAGGTAGTGCAGATTTTTATGGGCTTCGTGTTGATCTCTCGTGAAAGGTAGTTATGTATAGGTAAAGGCAGAAAAATGAATTTTCTTCAAAAAATTTTTATATTAAATTACACATATCATGCACCCGTTATGATATTAAAATTTAAAAGTACGCGTGTAAAATACAATATAGTTAAAATCATTTTCATTACGATATAAAATATATAGTATACCGATTTAAAATCAATTATCGTAGTGCGCATGGAATACATCGAGTAAAGAATTATTAAGTTTTTTTTCAATATCTTTAAACTCGCCGGTACGCACTATACTCGAACCGTGTCCGGCAATAAATTTAGCAACCACTGATCTTAATTCATGGAGATTTTGATCATATGCAAAACTTAAAAGAGCGAATGCATTGTGAATATTCAAATTTTTGCACAACTGTTGTTCGCACAATTTTATCAATCCTTGAACATTGTATTGTTGAGCTGCAATCAGAAGTTTATCAGCTATATCATCCAGATTTTGAACTTGGCCTATATAAATGTAGCGCAAGAGCTCTTTAAATACTGGAAATTCCATATCTCTAATTTCAATGACAATGTCGCGATTAAATCTGTTGTATGCGGTTGGATCGCGTCTCAGTTGTTCCAGAAAAACTGAGCTACGTGCTCCGAGGATAGCTTTATGTGCTCTAAGAGTTTTCGAGTTGATGTAAAATGTGACGTCGCTAAAACTCCCATTCTCGAATAACAACTCGTAATCGTTGAATATATCTTTGCTTGGTGAATTATCTTCTTTGGGTGCTTGGCAACGTCTTGTATTATTTTTTACTTTATCAATTTTCTTGATGTTACATTCAATAGTTATTGCGTTACTATTCTTATTAATTAAATCAAATCCGGTACCTATGGAGACTTCGAATCCAGAATGTTCACCGTTAATAAAGTTGTGAATCGCAGAGTCTTCGGCGTCATTAATCGAAATACTAAACTGTACTGTTAATGGATCGTTGAAATTAGGGTTCAAATATACGCCATGAACGTTGCTATCAGCGATTTCTTCTAAAGAAAGATGCCATTTATGACTGTCATCGTCATCTGCCCAAAAATCTGGTGAAGATAAGCCATTATTTTCAGCTAAGCGAAGGGAGTCGAAATTATTGATAATCCACGTATACTTCAATTGTTCAACGTCAAACGTTGTTGTAGCCCACCAATGTTCTGTAATGAAACTGTGAGTATTTAGTGGCAATGTAAGTGATAACGCGGAGAGAGTGACGATATTGATTATACTGATAGCCATTTTCGTATATTTCTGATTTGCTGTATCAGTTACACTGGTGGAGGTCCTGTGACGATTCCGTAATATGTATATTATACTACTAATGCAGCGATCAAATTACTTACTGAATAGTAGGAAGCAATATTTTCTGCGTTATATAGGTTTTGATGATAATACTATCGTGAGATAATATAAAAATTCTTTAAAAAAAATTTATCTACGTACTGCGCAATTCGAATGATGTTACACTATCGTCTGTAAAATATTGTTGTAGTGCGTGTCCGGTGCTGTAGAGTTTTGATACCGCGCATATCCGTTTTTGACAATGTACGTTCTATTATTAATGTTACAAATCATCACGCAGACATTTAAATAAAAGATTTTGTTGAGTATCACGCGACGCACAATAATTTAAAAATGCTCTCTGACAGAGAAAGATAAGGGAACAATAAAAAATTAAGCAAGCGAAAAACAAGCTCTTAAAGATTTCTAAGGAGAAGGTATTTTAAGTTTGTAGAGCGCATCAGCATGAAAGGAGGAGGCAAAAGATCAGCGAGGCAAGAGAGAAAAGGAGATGATGACGAGGCGTAAGGCGCGTAAAGGCGAGAAAGAGGTCCCGGGACTGGCGCATCAAGATGATATCGCGCGCTCGGGGTGGCCCATAACCCGGGGTTAAAGTGCACTAGCGATTTCTTAAGTAAGTATAAATCTGGCGTGATGCGCTCGTAAAAGTTAGCTGTCCGAGAGCGCAGAAAGAGAGTGAGAGAGAGAGAGAGAGAGAGAGAGAGAGAGAGAGAGAACGCGTGTGACTGACTGAAGTTTGGATGCCACTGACCGCGCGCCTCTCTTGGTTCTCTCTCTCTCTCTCTCTCTCTCTCTCTCGCGGTGTGGTCCAGATGCTCGAGTTTTACGAGGCACCAGCCCGTAATGCTTCTTCCCAGAAGAAATGAGAGAAGGACGTCTCTTTCGCTTGATGCTAGATCGCAAACGCCCAAGGAAAATGACTTGTTTTATCGTATCGTAACTCCCGGGATACGAGCCTTTTATTGAAAGGAGATGTTTATTAGCTTGGGATATGTCTTCCATCTTCTTTTTTTATCATCCAGACGATTGTTGTTATCAAATTCCGATAATCCAGGAAGATATTGAATTTCTCATGCATCGCCGATGAAATTTTTATTGGCCAAAGAAATTATCGAAGATATAGATTCAGAGATGGCTTGTGCATACGATAAATAACGGCAAGAGCATTACTACCATGTTAAATATACGACTATCGGACTAAAAACAAATTCGGCAGCTTCCGCTTTAGTGAGATGCTCGAATAACTTTGCAGCCACGCGACCACGCGACGGAAGTGCAAAAGATCCAAAAAGAGAACCCCGACTGAGTAGACGCCACACTTCTTTGGGGCAAATGTCCCGTAACGGGAAATGGCTACCAAACTGATGTCCATCTCTAAACAAATGTATGACCCCAAATCATGTGCTTTTCTTAAAGATGTTTCTTGCATGTTTAGAAATAATAAGTTAATTTCTCGTTCTTAAATTATATGAATTTTCATAAAAGAGGAATATTTTACACTTATTTCTATGGTGCTTAGGAAACAAGACGAGTTATTTTATGTTAAAAAATAAAAATACAACAAACCCAATAGTCGAAAAATATGATTATATTTTTATTAAAATGGCTGTACATATTTTTGTATTGAAAAATTATTTTTATTTTTATTTTAGCTATAAAATATTCAATTTCTCAACAATTTAATTTAATAATGATATCATGCTGTCTTCGATTTACGTGAATACCATTGCAAATCTTAAAATTTTGATTGCAGTTGTGTTGATTATATGATAATATCGATAAAAAATGAGGACATTACAAATTCATACGACAATATCTCAAAAAAATTTTCAATTGACTTAGGCTCTTTATAATAATATCACAAATTTTATGAAATATCGATTCTTTTTGATCTCCATGTTAAGATCAGAATATACCTTGAATAAATTTTGTAAGTCATTGTGAATAACGATATGATAATAAGAAGTACATATACGCTGACTATGTTCTTATGAACATTTGAGTGATTAGATCCATTTTGTTGTTCTAATGTACTAACTTTAGATATTTATTGTAGTAATTAAAGTTAAAAATTCGGATAGCAAAAGTAATTAATTGTTGATGGTCGTTCATTGCACCTTTCTACATTCTATTCTACGCATTTTTAATTGATCTTCCTTTACGTTTTTATGAGGAATAAAAAAATTGATGATCCATTATGACTTTGTAATAGATAATTAAGATTTTATGAACATTTCTTCAGTCAAATTTAACAAATTTATCTTCCTTACGAGTATCATTGTAACAGCAACATTGTCAAATAACCGATAGAACAGTAAAAACTTTTTCTATCGAAATAAAACGATCAATTTTTATCTGTTTGGTCAATACAAACTGCGTTTGTAAGATTGAAAATTTTACTCAAAATAAGAAAGAAATGTACTTTTTTCAATGTTTTACAAAACAATACGGCTGAAACCTCAGTTGTTCAATGTATACAAGAAATTTCTTGCATCAAAAGTATAATAATACGATAAGTACAGTGAGTGGAAAACTTAGAGACGATTAATTAAGCGAGTAAAATGTAGGTTACAAAACGAAATACTCAATCGCTAATAAAAATCTACTTGCTATGAAAAACGTAGGATAAACATAAGAAGATCAGCAAGTAGAAATCCAGAAAAAAATGTTTTTTACTTCCTTGTCATCCAAAATTGTACTGAAAGAAAAAATTTACTATAACTTATAATACTCAGAACATAATAGAATTCCCTGTAACTTATAGCAATATTTGATACAGTAAAGCTTACTATAATTACAGAAAAGAATGTTATAATGTGGATGGCTTACTTTTATCTTATAGTAATTTTTTCTAAAATTTTATAAAGTTATTTCTCTATATACGTGTAAAATTATTGGTCTTAGAAATAATATTCTATCTTCACAAACTATATATAAATGAGTAAATATATTATGAATCGTTCGTTATTTATACATTGTTTACAATTGTAAAAAATATTCAATATTTGTTGAAAAACAATGCCAGTTAAGAAAAATATGATCAATCATTTTATAGCAATTAAAGTTGTCCGTATAGGATATAATGAAAAGAGCATAAAGGTAGTTAATTCTTTTCTATATTCTTTGTAGTCCTCGGTTTCTCTCGATCTATAATTTGAGTACGCATTTGAAGTGCTCCGAATGCACATTTCACAAGCCGTCTTTGACGTCGTCGTTTACCACAAAGATTCAACGTAACAGACACAGTAATTATCATGTCCATGGAGCAGATGAAATTTTCATGTCTACAGTGGCAATAAAAGAGTTTTGATTCGGCGTCGTGCCCATCGATGTCGAGATTGTCAGAAAGCTCGAACTCGTCTATCAAATTTATCGAATTGCCGATTTTCTTTTATTTACTTTCTACGTTGATTGAAGTTACAATCCCTCTTCCATACACTTGACCACAATGTAATAAGAACGTTTATCGGATATACTACTTTATTTCGTTAACGTTTGCATTCTTGAAAATTTTGCTTGCAGTCATTTAATTAGCGTAAAAATTTTAAATCAGCATTGTAACATACAAAAGTCAAACAACGTTCACGACATCGATCAACAACTATTCATAGTAATTTGGCATGAGTCTTGTCTTTCTGGACGAGACCGATAAGGTATTGGCAATCGCAATTCTAGACTAGTCTCTTGTCTAGACAGTGAAGTGCGGGTAAGACGGTAATTATGCGAATTCGAGTCATGCGACTGCCGGTACGATGAGAGTGCGTCTAGCATTCCGAAACAAGTGCGTGGTGTCAATCACTGCGTATATATAGATAGACATATTATATATATATATATATATATATATATATATGCATGTATACATGCAGGCAGTGCGAGCGACTCCTTAATCTTCCGCATACACGGCGTCATCGGTATAGACGCTCTCCTCTATACTGATTGATCGGTCAACGAGTCTCCGTGTCACAATGGTTCAGTCATGCATTGTCCTCTTGTGTATGCAGGTTGTCTGGATGATTAAGTGCTAATCTAATTGTTTTACAGTAATTGGCCTATTCAAGTGCAAAATAGTTTTCTTTCAGTAAGTTTTCCCATAAATTAATAGAAAAAATGTAAATATTTCTCTTTTCATTCCCACTAGCTATTGTTAAAAGATTTTATTTTCAGATACGTTGAAACGAACGGCAGGAAAATAGCCTATCGACTTTGAACCCTTTTGTCCTTGTTTTAATCTTATAATCTGGCGAGGCCGGCGAGCCGATACGCAAAACAATCGACAATTCTGACGTGTGCGACCATAGTGTCGCGACATGAAACGCGGGAAAAAGCCCTAAACGAGAGAAAAAGAGAACCGGCGTGCATTGCAGTAGTCGATCGGCATTGCATTTTTCTCGACATCGACTGCACAGAAAGAGAGAGAGGGAGAGGGAGAAGATCGTCGCGCCACTTCAAAGGCATAGGCCCTTCACGGCTTACGGGAGAGCGCTCCAATAATAATATTCCCTTTGTCCAGTGTGTGTGTGAGCGCGCGTTCCGCGAGGGGGTGACGGTGGCGGCGGCAACTCGGTAGCATACAGCACAAGCCAGCCAGTTGGAGATGGTATCGGGTTGCGACCGAACGGAACGTTGTTACATTCAAATTAGAGTGGACGACGGTATGCGTGGCAGTCGCGTGGGAGTAAGTCAGAAAAAGAGGACTCTCGCAACGAGTGAAAGAGACACGAGATAGAAGGGAGAAATACGTTTTAAAAGAGAGAGAGAGAGAGAGAGAGAGAGAGAGAGAGAGAGACGAATGAAAAAGAAACAGAGGAGAGGGAGAGGAGAGATGGGAAATGGCAAAGAGGAATAAAAACACTTTTGCCGAGATTTCGGTAATTGGATATACGAGCTTTTTGAATCGAGAGACTTTTCGCTTACTTTCATACCGCACATTTTCA